TGACCGAAAGGAGAGGTTTCACTGTAATTAAGTAATGTGCCATTGGCGCTGCGTGTCTGAGCTGCTAATAAATAAAGTTCTTTACTGCAGATTATAATGAACCTTAGCAACTGGATCCAGAACAAACCTTCTAATGGCGTTGGATTGATACCTGAACAATTAACTCGCGTCAAAGAGAGATTTCATAGAGTCATTTTTAAGGAAAATAAGAGAGATTAAGAATCTCTTTTATGGAAAACGTTTAACGTTTTTCCCTTTTCTAAAAGAGGCCTGACCTCTGCTCGTAGCGAAGTTTAAAACTGTTCGTAAAATCCATATAAAATAAGGATTGTTTTGTTCCAAGTAGAAATGTCAGAAACATGTAAATAAATGGAAAATTTTCAAAGAACTAAAAAAAAAAAACAGATACAAGTACATATTAAGTTTAAGATTACTCAGTAAACTTTATGAAATGGTGGCTGGGGGAAAGAAGCGTTTAAGGGTGGATGGCCGCTGTCGCCTAATTCTTAGGTGCTTAATTACGCGCGTAAGAGTTACGTGTGTAAATAAAACAGAGGTAAATTATGAAGGTCGCCCGTAAACGTCGTTAACGTTAAAAGTTGAGCGAGGTTCAACTTTTACGTTTACGAAAATGAAGAAAAGATCGTCGCAGTGAACGCGTTTTATGCAATTGGGTAAAGAAGCCTGAAAAAAGTTCAGGACTTCAAAGGGGTTTGAACCCGTGACCTCGCGATACCGGTGCGATGCTCTACCAACTGAGCTATGAAGTCACTGACGTTGGGAGCAGGTCATACTTATTGTTCGACCCTCCATACATTGGCTCTATTTCACTTGAGCGCTTAAAATTTTCGTGTGTACCCACGTAAAAAATACGCAACAATGTAAATTCACCTCAACAAACGACAACCGTGTGTTGTATTCGATAATAACACACTCCAATCAACAAATGTACTTCCACAGACCAACGAGCTAGGTTACGCCTCCAATGACATTTGTTACAGCCTATCTCTGTCAGTCGAAGATTTAAAGGAGCTGTGTCACGGCAGTCCAGTTCATTTTGTTTAATTTTGCCAATTACTCGCCCTCAGTCGATATGGAACTTAAAGTAAGCAAAGAAATTACAGGTAAATGACAGAATCAGAGATCCAAGACAAACCAATATATCTTCTGAGCATTATTTCTGAAGTTGTAAGCAGCAGGGATCAACTTTGAAAAACTGTTAGGCTGAACAGTTTTCAAACATCCTGATTTCAATCCGTTTCAATCTTTTTCAGTTTTGCCCATCCGTGACATCTGTTGTATCTGTTATGATATTTTAACCTTCAGTTAAAGTTTGAAGCGGTTCTTTTTATGTTTCTCTTAATTTAACGTGCATTTTGTAATTTCCTAATTTGGCTGAATTTCGTGCCACAGCTCCTTTATAATGTAACTGCCGCTTTATAGTAGACATAACTGTTGAAAGCGTTCAGAAAGAAAACGTTCTAAGGCAAGGACTGCAGGCTCAATTACGTCATCGCTATAATGGATATGATCCCGGGTGCCGTGCGGCCATGTAGCGGTCAGCGGATAAATATCAAGAACAGGAATTCCAGCCATGCACATTTCCCAAGTGGCAAATTTATTAAACAGCTGCACCCTCTGCAAGAACAAGAAAGAAAAATATATACCGGTAAATGGAGCACTGCACTTATAAACAGCGTTAGTCTCGACATCACAATACAGGAAAAACGCTTAACCTCCAGCTAATAAAATGACGCACCGAAAGGTATCTTGAGGTTTCTATACGTTTGTTTGCTTGTTTCAACTTTTTTCTCAACTTTTGATTTTGGGTTTCAAATAATTGACTGAAAACCCCTTTAACTACTCACTACAAAATCAATATATAAAGAAAAGTACAGTTATCTGAAACTTGAAGAGGGAGTTACGAACCGACAACTTTTAGCTGCACGCACGTTCAGTTTACATATCCTCAAAAGTGACCAAGTATGAAGGTAATATGAATATTTTGATGCATTTTTTTAAAACTCTAATCTTTTCAGTACAATGAGGGGAGAAAATGACCGATATTAAGAGGAAATTTAAACTCCCATCCTACTTTTTTACAGTACTCGGTGAATGAAAAAAAGGAGACTACCGGACTTGTATGGAATCTCCATTTAGTTAAGTTGTCTCCTGCATACAGCTTCTTTAAATGTTCTCTCTCAATTGCTGTACTGCTCCTCCAGATCTGTAATGCTTTACTGCCCAGGCTATCCCGCTTTAGCAAAGTAATCAGGGATTGTATCAACCTACGATAGGTCGTGAAGTTAAGCACCAGTGAATAATGAATACCAACGTTGAAGAAGAACACGCTATGATTTCCAGTCATCTCAGGTCTTGTAAGGATTTGCTTGATCTCTTCAAGGATAATAGTTTGGTTGAAATCATTACCGTCGTCTCCTCTCCATTCAGCCTTAAATGAGGCGAAATATAATATCAAAATATAATTTAATATCTAACAAAGACTTCAGAGATTTAATCCCTCAGTATTGAGAGGGATAACGGGTACACGCACTTAATTTTGTCCGTCAATTAGCCTGCGTAGTGGTCCCATATCAAAAATAAAAGATACAGCCGCGCCGCGAAAATTGAACCGAGGTCGAATCAGAAAACGGTAGGAGAGGGAGCTAAGGGAGGCAATACATTCATTCTACAGATATTTCGTTTACGACCCTGGGTATTTGTCTGGTCCCGGATGAATCCGCGACCTCCCCAAGACACGCCAAGCCGTCAGGCTGGACAGGTTATGGACAGACTGGTTAAGGACGTAAACACAGTCCAGTAATATGATTCCGGCTCTGAAAGTTGTTTTCATAATAACTGCATTTGCCTTAACTGCCTCAAAGGTATAACCCATGTCTACTATATGTTTTGAAACTCACATCGTAAATCCACATGTATTTATTATTACATTCAAGAAACATCTCTTTGCAAAGTGGCCGCGACTTGGCAAGTTTATGATACTGAACACCCATGGAATCTCCATAAACACAGAGCGTCTGGAGTCTCTTGCTCTTGGCCTGGTAATGGTACCTCTTGGTCAGATCCTCTGAAGAGGAAAACAAGTTATCTTCAGTGATACTTACAGTTACTATAATCCAGTAGAAAAATTAAAAATAATTACTAGTGTTCATGGGTGTCAATGAAGAGTTGTCAATTTTCCCATTAGCTTAAAACTCATACGCATCTTCCGAGGGTACTGAACACCTGGGGGATAAGTACTCGTTTAAAAAAAATAGCCTGCTGAGGAGCTTAAGTGCGTGAGAAATCAAAAGGCGCACCCACGCGCGCCTGATGTCTTCACTCTCTTTCGTAAAACGCCTCTCCCAGGCTACCAAAGAAACAGTGAATTAAATGGCACGTTGGACAGTTTTTGAGGATATCGCAAACTGTCTCAGAACTCAAACGGTTTGCCGATCCTTTTATAAAGCAAGAGGACATCCAATAATGTTTCGATTACAGGGCAATCACTTTAATTTTAATGTGAAGTATTTAATGTCTTAAAATAATTGTATGTTGACGAATGATTTTACTCAGTGGAAACACTGTGTGGGAGAATTGCATTGTATGAACAGCACGTCATTTTATTTTTAGTTTGCATCTATCTAGTAGAGATTGTAAACTAAAGTTAGTGACCTTCAGGGATGTATAGATTCCATTTCCTTTTGATCCATCGTCCAAAGCCATCCCACAGCAAAGAACAATCGACGTTGCACGATAATTTTGACAAAGATGTGTCACCAGATCCTTTTCTTAACCGTTGATTGTAACTGTAGAAGCCTGTTGAGTTGGCAAACATGAACGATGACAGCTACCCAAACAAACGCAGAGAAGGGCAAAAGCTTTTAGAATAGATTTAAAACACTTAGAAATGACTCTCTTCTGTTTGCTTCTTTCCATTTTTGGGAACACGTTCGGTAACGGATGGCAGGACGCGAGCCACTTTGTTTTCACGAAGTGCTTATTTTCATATTACTTAATTACTTCACATTTGAAAGAATTATCTCAAACGAGCGTCTATCCATGTAGACATTTCATCAGCGTCAATCTTTTACAAACTACTCTATTGATTAGGAAACCTTATTCATGATATCCACCATCTTTGCACATGCTTTGGTATTGATGGGATAAAAGTAATGTCACGTGGTATTTCAGAGGAAGTGATATAACACTTGCCAATAAGAGTGATCGCGGTCGAATTTTTTTATTCTTTAAACACGAGACTGTGATTTTAGTCTTGAAAAATGTACAGTTCAAGCATGGATAATAGGAAGACTGGCCAGTCGTCGTTCTGTTATCCATGGTCCGACCTTCGATAGATTTTACGTCATTCACTTTCTGTGGTGACAACTACGGTCACTGCTGTGGGATCCAAAAAATGATCAAAGATGACTTCTAACCATACCTTGCCATTATGATCGTCTTTAAGATAAAATTGAAGTTCTTCAATACATTTCTGTTTAGCCTGCGAGCAAGCTCTCGTATTTGGGCTAGCGAAGCGAGTCTCGCGAGAACGCACAATCTCGACTGCAATTTTTTCTTACATTGGTAAATTTTATCACCTGTTTGACCCCTGAAAAACCAGTGCGTTTTATCCTATCAGTCCTTGACAGCATGCAAAGATGACAGGAATCTTGAATGAGGTCTATTAGGCTTAACGTCGTGTCAGACAGTACCAAAAAAACTCCTTAAAATATTTATGGAGCACGAAAATTCCCCACCCCCGTCACGACTTTACAATGGTCCACCCCTTAGCTTGTCAGAGCCTACTATTGAATTCCACGATAAATACTTTATTGCAGAGACAAAAGTTACCTCTAGTGACTCACTTACTGACATGCATAATTTCAGGCTATTGATTTCTCCTTTCCGATTCTTTGGCAAAAAAAGGAAAAAACAGAAAACAACAGCAACAACAACAATAACGGCAAACAAACAAACAAACAAAAGTTATTCTTACCGTTTGTTTTGTTTGATTCCTTGATATAAATATTTACAGATTTTCCACTTTGCAAAGGCGAGTTAATGTAATCGATACTGATATCTCCAAGGATACCATGCTCTTGCTCATAGCCATGAATATTACCTACAAAATAACAACAAAGTGAATTTATTATAATAACTGAGTTACTTTTTTTGGCATTATTTTGGCGCGTCTCAACCCAAACAATGAATATAATCTGATAATGTAAATGGGAAAACCCTTACCTTTACTAAGCTGTATTTCAGTAAATGACTTATAAATGACGATACATAATTTGATGATAACTGTGTTTGTCTGTCTGGCAACAAATCAGGTTGTTAACAGGTTTTATGCGGGTGGTAAAATGCGCAACATCGCTATTCAGCCAGTTCTGCAGCAATGATGCAAAACAAGTTGCACGTTTTTTGTTGCCCGTTTTTCCGTACCGTAAGGCCTTCCTGTAGTCCAGGCCCCCAGTTGTTAAAAAAAGGACAACGCTTTCGGGTGGATAAATCTCTATCCACTGGATAGCGCAATTTTTTCCCTAATACTTATCCGCTGGATGGTGATTGGTCCAGTAGATAGCGCCATTCAGCATTTGAAAAACTGCGGCATAACGTAATTTTGACGTCATAGCAGAAAAAAAAAACTGATTAGTCCATTTTCGACCTTGACGCCTTTTAAATCGTTAAACCTTCAAGCTAGCAGCTAGGGCAAACTCATCAACCCGGAGTGTTTTGTAATCCCTATCTGAGCATCGTTCTGCGCATCTTCAACGGTCCAAGCACATGCAGCTAAATGTACCTGGCATTAATCAATTGTTGCCTAATTTTTTGTATGATTCACCACTAAGTTACCTCTGATAAACCAATCCTCCGGTGGGTCTCTGAAACCATCACAGAGCGTGTAGTCAAGGAATACCTGGGCTGAGTAGTTCCCAGGCTCCAGCGCAAGGAACATGACCTCATATGTTCCATCATCATTGTCTGTTACCATGGGCGCAAGGGATGCTGGGCCTCGTCTAATGTACACCCTCCATGAATCGCCTCCAGTTCTCTTGAGGTTTCCATCGCTGGTCACAGACTGGATAAAGAAACGGCTGAATTCCCCTGACGTTAACGAAAAACTGATAAATAATAACTTTTAATAAGTATTAATACAATAGTAATAATATAAATGATGATAACGAGAA